AACTTAGTCGAAAATACAAGCAAAAACATTGACGTTTCAAGACAGAACTTCTTTTTTGCATTTGGATATTCAATTTCAAAAACATAGGCAAGTTTTTAATAACAATTATTCAGTAGCTTGCTCACAATCGACGCAATTCGTTTATAATTTACCACGGTTCAGACAGTAAGTAACTCTCTCTTAAACTTTCCCATTCGTTTTTGTCATTAATCACGGTCGAATAATGACTATTTTGATAGAATATTTATGTAAAGTGTATATACTGTACCTTTGTCGTCTAGTACTTCCTTCTTAACAGTACAAGGCACGACAGGTTCTGTTTTTGTTATTAGTCCAGATTCCGCCTTCTTAATTTTGCTACTTGAACTTGTGTTTTGAAGTTTCATCTTGTCGGTTTTCATCTCGTCTGGCAAGGTAGCTCTATGAAAAATATTAACGTATCGCTACCAGGCAAGGAATAAACGACCACCAACATATATAGACCAACAACTCTTTTGTCGGTGTTCTGAATTAGTCTTTATTCTTATTCCTTAATCCTGATTTCTTCATTTGACGTAGTATTTAGACATTTGTATACTAAAATTAACATTTGTATCTTAAAATCAATATTTGTTTTACAAATCAGACATTTATCAGCTCAGATTTGTAAGAAAAGAGAAGAGATCTTATTGTAATCTTCCGGTTAAAACCACTACGGAATCAGATTTTGTTATTATTCCAAGTGGGGAATCTAGTGGAATTTCGGAACCACACGAAGAGATAAAAGAACCGAAAGGAGATTTCTTGGTTAAAAACATCACAGAGTAAAATCGCGTGGAATGTACTTTGATTCCATCTTACATTTTACAAGATGATGAGATAAACTATTAATGTTTCAAGAAAATAACTAGCAAATGTAGCAAATGTTGCATCAGTTTAACTCATAATATCCACTGTTCATATGTTTACACTTGAAGTTCCGTTTCCCGGTAATCTCAGCCCTCGTCTTTCCATACCCCCCCCCCCCCCCCGGGTGTATGAAAAATTGACGTTTTGTATCAATGGTATTTAGTATCAGGAATGTTGAGGAGATAAATACAACTTTAAACAGAACTGTTTCAAGAAATCAACAAATAACGTTTACAGATTCAGCACGAATCGTAATACAAGTTGCTGAATATACAAAATATTTTGAATTTTTAAATGAAATGAAATGAAATGAAAAGGGGTTTAACGTCCTACTGTTCTGCTTCTAACCTGGGCTAATGAAGACGGGCATACGCCATACAGTGTGCTATGAGGGAAATTTTGCCCGGGCTACGGCCTACTCTTATATCGAATTCCAACTGCCAAGGGATATTTTACGTGCACGCCAATGTGTACACGGGACCTCGGTTTTTCGTCCCATCCGAACGACTAGACAGCTGTCCTTTTCAGGCTCTCCGTCCTGCATCACTGACAAGGGGAAACCACGCCGGAAAATTTGGATGAACTTTCTCGGGCAATGCAGGGATCGAACCCCCGACCTCCAAGCCACTTCGCCACGTGATCCCCCTTGAATTTTTATACGCCCACATTTTCATGTGGACGTATATTGTCGTCGCCCCTGTCCGTCCGGTCCGGGCGTCCGCAATTTGTTTGTGGACACTCTACAGGTCACAATTCTTATTCTATTTTAACGAAACATGAAATATAGGTTTATCTCCAAAAGATCTCGGTTACTGTCGATATTGGCATGTATCGGATTGAAACTTCTTGGATTATGGCTCCTGTTTGTACGAAAAATCACGTTTTTAGCTTGTGGACCCTATAGAGGTCACAATTTTTATCCGATGTTATTGAAACTTGAAGTGTAAGTTAATAACCCAAAAGTCTCGGTTCCTTTCGATATTCGCGCATATCGGACCGTAACTCACCGAATTATGACCCCTGATTGTACGAAAAATCGCGTTTTTAGCTTGTGGACACTATAGAGGTCATAATTGTTATCCGATTTAAAAAAACGTATTATGATATCACCGTTACACCCTAAGGCCGACTGAGTTCGAATTTCGTGAACATCGGCCCAAAACTGACAGACAAAATGACCGCCATTCGCGCATATCGGACCGTAACTTCCTGAATTATGGCCCCTGTGTGTACGAAAAATCACGTTTATAGCTTGTGGGCCCTTTAGAGGTCACAATTTTTATCCTATTTTGTTGAAACTTGAAATGTAAGTTTATACCCAAAGGTCTCGGTTCCTTTCGATATTCGCGCATATTAGACCATTACTTCCTGAATTATGGCCCCTGATTGTACGAAAAATCGCGTTTTTAGCTTGTGGACACTATTGAGGTCATAATTTTTATCCGATTTAAAAAAACGTATTATTATATCACCGTTACACCCTAAGGTCGGCTGAGTTCGAATTTCGTGAAAATGGGCCTAAAACTGACAGACAAAATAGCCGCCCTTCGTTCTCAAATAGCGTAAAAATATGGTATATCAAGGTTGTGGACCCTATAGAGGTCACAATTTTTATCCGATTTTAGTGAAACTTTAAATGTAAGTTTATAACCCAAAGATCTCGGTTCCGTTCGACATTTGCGCATATCGGATCGTAACTTCGTGAATTATGGGCCCTGATTTTACGAAAAATCGCGTTTTTACCTTGTGGACCCTATAGAGGTCATAATTTTTACCCGATTTAACAAAACTGTATTATTATATCACCGTTACACCCTAAGGACGGCTGAGTTCGAATTTTGTGAAAATCGGCCCAACACTGACAGACAAAATGGCCGCCCTTCGTTCTCAAATAGCGTAAAATATGGTATATCAAGGTTGTGGAACCTATAGAGGTCACAATTTTTATCCGATTTTGTTTAAACTTTAAATGTAAGTTTATAACACAAAGATCTCAGTTCCTTTCGATATTTGCGCATATCGAATTGTAATTTCCTGAATTATGGCGATTGATTGTAGGAATAATCTCATTTTTAGCTTGTTCTCTATCGAACAATGTGGGCGTATCCTGCCTGGCAGCCGCTGGTTATCTGTATCTGATACGGTTGGCTATCACTGTCTTAATCACACATTTGCCGTTTCTAAATATATTTTGACAACCAGTTTTGTTTGAGGTTTGATAGAAAAATGACATTAAGGTACCATTTAAATATGTTAAAACATCAAGCTAAAATTCCAATATATTATTATTGACAATACTGCCATGAACTGTGTATGTGAGAAGCATATTTGTTTTCCAGACAATTATTTATATAGGACAGAATTCTATGGAACACATGTGCACATTTACCTTGTAATTACCCAAGTGATGTTGTAATGTTTTCTAATCTCAGCTCATTAGAAATGAAATGAAATGGGGTTTAACGTCCTACTGTTCTGCTCGTAAACTGGGCTAATGGAGACGGGCATACGCCATACAGTGTGCTATGAGGGATCTTTGTCCCATCCGAACGACTAGACAGCTGTCCTTGTCAGGCTCTCTGTCCTGCATAACTGACAAGGGGAAATCACGCCGGGAAATCTGGATGAACTTTCTCGGCCAATGCAGGGATTGAACACCCGACCTCCAGGCTAGCGAGCCAGCGTCTTACCCACTTAGCCACGCGATCCCCCAGCTCATTAGACACTGTTGGACACAAACAATATCTATATAACATGAAACCATTTTGAGATTGATTTCAGTTAATACATGAGTTATTTTAATTATTTATTTCATTAAAGTAATTCATTTCAGACCCTTTCATATGGGTCACAGTGTCTATCGTTATATCAGGTCAGCCATAGTTACACTAATACTACTTTTGATCTCACCCAATTTATTAATGCACTATTTCGGGCATTAATTAATTTGGCAAATCTCGCTTGATGATCTCCAAAGCTCCTAAATAGCATTTGTAAACTACCACGGTTTTGCTTATAATTTGGAGTGAATTGTCAGTATCTTGACATAACTAAAACCTAATATATTATAAATAAGCTTACTGTTCATTTAATATAACACTACTTGCACTAGCTTCCTGTTTATCAGTTGTTTCCACATTCTCATTTAACCAACCTGAAAAAATAAACGCGGAGAAAAACATCAGCCAACAAAGAGACAGTCTTTCCAGATTCGAGCCTCAAAAACAGTCATATATTTCTGATTTATGAATAATTGTCATTTTACATCCGAAGAATTCCCTGTTTCTAAATTTGGATTTGAAACTTTTCAGCAGATTAAGAACCTGAAGGTAAACTAAAGTAGGATTTTTAGCGATCAAAATCATAACAGCCCCTGGCAATCTTTTTTTTCCGATAATTTCCTAATGCTACTCTCTCACACAGTGGAGAGTATACTTGCGAATATGAAAATTAATATGAAATTAGCGGAAAAAATGGCAAGATTGACCTGGAGAAATACTAAAATAAGTGAGACCTGACACATGTTTTTCAATGCTTGCGAATTACTTACGAAACATTAAGACAGCAATGGATTTGTAGTGATCGTTAAGACATTTGTAATTATATATTCACCTTCAGTCGACTGAGCTTTACAGACATCTCGCGGTAGAGACGCCTCAATAAATTCAAAAAATACAAAGTGAAGCATAAACAACACTAATTGGTGTTGTTATAATTCTTTATGACACCACAATAAAGTAGATTTGTTTCAAGGAAACCTGGAAATTGGACCTTTGTGACGCACCGTTCTGGACATTTTGTGATAATATCTTTTAAAGACTTTTATGGATAACAATAACTACAACCAAATGAAAAGACGAGTACGGAAATTCTGATTCTGAAGAAGCAGAAAACTTAATAACCAAACAGTTATTATACCTCCAATTTGACGAAAAGAGAATTGGTCTGTTGAAACCTTATATTGGTCAAATCTGTCAGATTTCAATATTGTTTCTAGGATTGGGTGTAAATTGTTTAATTCGGACGTCGACGAGGTCGTTAAAACACAATTAACAATAACACCATCACCGCATCTACAACATAAAATATAATATTGATATTGACCACCCCCGTATCTATAGCATAAAACATAATAGTGAGATACATCGTGAAATACACTCATTAAAACGAGATCAGTAAATTGACTTGTGGTGCACTGACACAATGAAATACAATTTCTACTTCAGATCCCCACACAATTTCAAACAAACACCATTGGGCACAAACAATACAGTTAAGTGATCAACTACTTTTTAGTATTTATGTCGGACTAATGAAATGTAATAGTTGCTAAGGTACAAAATTCTGCATACGCACTGTTCAGTTAAGCTAACTGTATTTTCATCTCCAATTACTGGAGTTACTTCTTCTGTTTCATCGGTGTTCCTGTTAGTTAACCATGCTGTAAATCAGAAGATGGGCCTTAGTGGTCAGTATATTAAGACAAAATGAATAACGTTTTATGTTTAACTATATAAAAGGTTGGTGTATAAATAATTTATAACAGTAATATTTTCAGTAAGTTCCATTAATAGAATTTGAAATAATTTGTAGTACATGTAGTAGAATTTTCAGAGATATGATGCAATATCAGTTTTCCATGCTAAGTACTAACCTCCAATTCGACAAAATAAAAAATAATCTTTCGATACTTTGTATTGGCCTAAATATCCAGACGTCAGAACCTTGTGTAAGATTGCTAATAAATTGTCTACATCTGTGGTTGCAGTAGTAACAAAAACAAAAGTTACAATAACGGACCCATCTCTAGAAATAAAATCAAATAGTTAATAATTTGATTTATAAAAAAATGAAAGTGCATTTATAGTGTGTCAGTATATGGCATCACTAATTACAACACATGTTACTACATGTAAAACCCCTTTTCATCTCACTTAACATATTACTGCACTGTAAAACAGACGTTTTGGTTATATTTAATTAGCCAATTGTATTCATAATATATATAAGACCATTCTAATTATTTGAAAAAGTCAAATAAAAAAAACGAATTGACCGTAATAAAAAAACCATTTATGTGTACTTGGGGGGTGTAACACAAAGATGGCAATAACCAAGTTAATGCACAAAATCGTCGCACATTATTAAGAAACAAATAATGACACAAGTATTTACAGCAAATAACAATCAAATATTACTAGCGCGATTCAACAACGACCCCGGGAAGGACTCTCACTCCAGAGTTATCTTCCGAAGATGAATACATAACATCCACGCCGGCAAAAAACAAAACAAAATAATTTTGTTTAAAATCCGAGGATAAAAGATTTGTGTTGAGACTATATAATTAATATCTTCAAACAAAATAAACAGTTCGAACAAAATATAAAGAGAATAAAAGTGGCCAATATTGGCATCATTGCCCTGAATAATATCCTACATAGCATGTACATATATATGTCGTGATGTCGGGTAAAAATGTCGGGTTGTCGGGATGTCGGGTTGTCGACTTTCATGATCAATGTTATTCATAACAAAAAACTGGCAATTAAGAAAATGGCTGATCAAGTGGAAGTAGATTCACGCTCACATTGCAGTTTGAGTTGCATTCGTATCCATTTGTATACGTCCACATTCATAATGTGAAACGTCTTCAATAGCTCAGTCGGAGCAGAACAGTAGGACGTTAAACCCCATTTCATTTCATAATGTGAACATATCATGAAGCCGCCCTTGTCTGTGTGTCTGTCATTGAGTCAAGTGGTGTGGTTTCCAGCCCAAGCTTGTACATGACAAAGAGTAGGGTCGATGGTTGATGAAATGGGGTTTAACGTCCTACTGTTCTGCTCCGACTGAGCTAATGACGACATTTTTAGTGTCGTAATGTCGGGTAAAAATGTCGTGATGTCGGGTTGTCGTGTTGTCGGGTAGAAATGTCGGGTTGTCGCGTTATGAAAGGCGACATCACGACATTACGACATGATACCAATCAGCCACCATACTGAACATGCTCAAAATCGTAAAGAAACTTACTTTTCAAAGTTCCATAACTTTTTAAGTTTGTAATAGAATACCTAGTAGACAATTCACTTCGCCATCAAACGATATACTTTAAGTAATCGGTAAACAACCAATTGATACATCGCATTTTGCGCACAGACGCCCATTTTTCTGCTCAATAAATCGGTTAGAATTACGCCCAGTTTTCGGTTTTCGTATTAAACTCCACTTCCGGTATGCGTACAAATTTCGAAATAGTTTTAAGAATAAGTTCGCGAGAAAATCATGCAAAATTAAAAAAAAAACGGCACAGGCGGTGTCGGGCGATTTTGAACAAACTTTACAGATTTGATCTTTGGGTACCCCATATACCCCACATGAAATAATAAAAACGTTATTTTTAAAAAAGATAATTCCATAAATTCAAATATTTCCCATAAATTGCCTATTGATATTTATTTTGTTTCAAAGTATTTATTATGAATGTTCTTGTCTACTAAGATACTTCAATATAATATATGACTATTAATTTTTTCCGAAACCATTTGAGGCTAGATAAGTTAAAAATGTTGATGACCTCGTTGAAGTTGGATCAATCAGATCTACTTACATGCCAAATTTCATGAAAAGCATGCTAATATTAAAGAAATTGTCAAATTCGTCTCAACTTCCCTGACGAAATAACATTAACAAAAACAATAAGCTTTCATATGAAAGGTAACTTGTTTACTACACGTGAGGTGCAGGTAAAGTTTTTACTATACGTGAGATACAGGTAAAGGTGGGATACCGGTAAATGTGTTTACTTCACGTGGGATACATGTAACTTTGTCTACTACACGTGGGATACAGGTAAGATGCAGGTAAAGGTGTCTACTACACGTGGGATACAGGTAAAGTTGTTTACTACACATGAGATAAGAGAGAGAGATGGGGTTTAACGTCCACTCGACACAAACTAGGTCATTTCGGGACTAACGTATGGTTTAATTTTATTTACATAATTCGCTTGCACGTAGGGGTCTTTAGCAGTGGGAGGAAACCGGAGGACCCGGAGAAAACCCACGAGGTTGGACAGGCGACCCTACTCCTTGTCACGTACAACCGGGGATTGGAAACCACGCCAGTCGACTCAATGACAGACTTTATGATACAGCGCGCGCACGCTAACCATTCAGCCATCCAACCCCCCACATGAGATAAGGGTAAAGGTGTTAACCACATGTGGGATACAGGAATCGTCAGTGATGAACAGATTCTAATGTCACGTTTGTTCAGATTCCAAATAGATTTACGAAAAATTAACTGTTTTGTATTACGAAAAATGAAATATTAACTGTATTGTATTGTCGAATTATTCTAGTCTGGGTATTAAAAGATGTTATTTGCCACCAACAAGATTTAGATTTTGATCAAAATGCTTGTTTTTGAATAGCTGACAATTGGACAAATGGACAATAGAATTTACCTCCTATATATGTAACAAGCAAATCGAGCCTATTGCAAATTTCATTAGACAGAATAAACATCGCTGTCTCTATAGTTTATATTATTATTGACAATGTTGTTTTCATTTCAGTATTAATCTTATAAATCTCCTAATCAAATTGGTATTTACAAAAGTACAAAAAAGGAAGCATTTACATAATACTTGGCGAAAACACTTCAGTATCGACTAAGGTAGTCTGAATTAGACCCAATGACAGATATTCTAGGAAGAACTGCATCCTCCTAAAAAATTGACAGAGAAACCGAGCTCATAAGCGCGCCAAAACTTCAAATAACCCTAACGATTGGCTAAAACTAGTTATTAGGTAATTTCACTTAAACGACAAGTGTTGGAATCGCTTGTGAAAATGGATAACGTAAATAATAATATTCAAACCCCAATAAACCTCAGTGGGAAAATTTATTCTCATCCCTTTCATAAGGCAGCAATATTAAATTCATACGTTACATCTGTTTCAAATCTTGATACCTCGCAAGAATTAAAGCATTCAATTCACGCTTTGATATCACAATGAAAAGATTTATTAGTAACGGAACAAGAGGCGGAAGATCAAAGAACGATATTCTACTCTACAAATCCCACATGTCGTGGCATAATGGAATCACTTTAATTTTAAAATGGTTGATATTTCTTCAAATTGCCATCTAATACTAACTTTTCATCCAAACGGAATGTGGGCAGAACATTTCGAAAATTCATAACAAAAGCTTATTTATACTCAAAATACTACTCCAATTAAAATTCTAATTAAATAGAGCTGCAGTATGTACAATATTTACGTCATTTAACGTCTCGTTATTGAATATGGAGACATTATAATATGTCCAAATCCCCCTCCAAATGAGATTTCTGAGCAAGGTTGGAAATCGTAATACACAAATCCACCCAAACCACCATTATTTCAACATATATAAATTCTTCTTTCGTCTGTAAGAAATTTATTTACAAAAAGTATGACCAACAAGGTTTATATTATAAAGAAAACTGAACCTTTTCAATGATGCAGTTAATCCAAAAGAAGACCCCTTATCTGAATGACGAAAGACAACCCAATAACGTCCGTCTAGTGAACCTATCAATCTCTTTCGTACATGAAACTGTATGTTAGGTTTTACAATTTATTATCCCGAAGGGATATATGTTCTGGAGGGATATTGAAATGGGCTCCGTTGGGCCGTCAGTCCGTTCCGATTTCGTTTCCGAAGCATGTCTCATAAACCGTTCAAGATATCTTTTTGAAACTTTGTACACACATCAACCTATTATAGTAGTTGTGCCTTTTGCTATTTAGGTATTTCTCAGGATTTAATATTTTTTTGTGATTCATTGCAAACAAATTTGACTTAGTTTTTGGTGTAAAATTTTTTTCCGGAGCATATCTTATAAACCATTTAAGATATGTTCATGAAACTTTGTACAAACATCAACCTATTATAGTAGTTGTGCATTTTGCTAATTTGGAATTTCTGGGATTTAGTAGTTTTTGTGTTTTCATGGTATGGAAACAAATCTAACTTAATTAGTTTTTGATGCACAAATTTTATTCCGGAGCATATCTTATAAACTGTTCAAGATATCTTCATGACATTTTGTACAAACATCAACCTGTGATAGTAGTTGTGCCTTTTTTTCTAATTAGAAATTTCTCGGATTTAATAACTGTTGTGTTTCCATGGAAAAATATTTCTCTGTTGAATTATTTTACTACAACACATTTGACCTTGGTATATAATTGTTGTTCTAGTCCATATCTCAGGGCAAGGAGTAGGGGCGCCTGTCCAACCTCGTGGGTTTTCTCCGGGTCCTCCGATTTCCTCCCACTGCTAAAAGACCCCTACGCGCAAGCGAATTATATAAATAAAATTAAATCAAATGTTAGTCCCGAAATGACCTACTTTGTGTCGAGTGGACGTTAAACCCCATTTCTCTCTCTCTCTCTCTCCATATCTCAGAAACTGTGCAAGATACCTTTATAACATCAACCTATTATTTTATTTTCTGATGACCGTCCTTCCGTCCCGATTTCGTTTCCGGGGCATATTTCATTATCCGTTCAAGAAATCTTTTTGAAACTCTGTACAAACATTAAACTATTATAGTATTTTTTTCTGATGTGTAACCGTATTGTTTAACATGCAGTAGCTGATTGAGGTAGGCAAAGGTTGTTGTCCAATCCTTATAGGAATTAACGACCCTGCCTTGCCCAGCTACTGTGAGAATGGATCTTCTGACAAGTTCAATTGATATTCCATGTGTGGGAATATGAGATGAATCGGAAATATTTTTATATTGCTTACTAATAACATAAAGAAGTTGTTTTTTCCTTATGCTTTCTAAACAAGTGCAAGGGTACGGGATGTTGATGACTATCCATCTTGTTATGTTTGATCTTATGTTTATGTCTGCAGTATACCATTTTCTATTTTCTGTGTCCTTATGAAAGAACTAATATAGACCTCGTCTGTATGGAAGACCAACATCTCTTTATTCAGTGTTCTTAATTATTAGTCCTTAATTCCTATTTCTTCATTTGTTGTATTTCGAAATTTGTGTACTAAAATTTGAAATCAATATTTGTTTTAGAACATTTGTCACAGCAGATTTGTAAATGGTATTTTTGTTTAATTTAAACATACATTATGCAAGAGCTAACTCTGTCTATTGTGGATCTTTCTTTAGGCCTGAAATGTTATATAAACTATTAATTAGACATTTATTAACAAAACAAGAGCATAACCGACTCTCGATGGCATCGGATACTCGAGATATTAAGTAGATTAAAACGGTTCGCCATTTAAAAATTTAATTTTAAAATGGGAAAGCGAGGCTAAGTCCCGATTATACCATTGCCTTTGTTACCACTGTGCACAAATCGTGTCAAAATTACAAACAATGATAATTTGGCTGAGAATGAAGTAATTTGAATGAAACTTTCAATATCTTCTGTTTTTATCATCTATTTTTGAATTATTATAGCAAGAACGAACAACTCTTTATAAAACTCTTAACTAATGTATCTTTAATTGTATTTTAATACAACGATAAAGTTTATTTTAGAAAATCAAAACACAGCCTACACTTACATTTCATGAGAGACATAAAACGAAAACAAATCTCGAACAACAAATCTTCAAATACAAATCTTGCTAAACATTTCTCCACAAACATTTCTCGAAATTCCTCGAGCCGGAATTTAAAGATACAAATTTTAATTTTAGTGTGAAAATGTCGAAATACGCCAACAGATTAAGAAATAAGAATTAAGGACTATAAATTAAGAACACTGAATAAAAAGCTGTTTGGTCTTCAATATGTCTGTTGTTCGATACTTTTAAAGAGAATTAAATATTGTTTAAACTACTTTGGAGTTCATTCAAGCATTTTCTATTTTAAAACACGTTATATTTACTGATTCTCTGTCTTCTTTACAAGCAATAAACAATAAACAGCAGACATTTATCGTCTGCTACTATCACACGAGTTTATCGGCAAGGACACAGTCCTTTGCTGGCTCCCCAGTCACGTTGATATTAAAGGGAATGATCAGGCAGACTTAGCTGCCAAGTCTGCTTTAGATCTTCCCATATCAAGATTCCTTTTAGCATTCACCGATTTTAAATCCCCCATTAATTCTTTTATATATGGCCGCTGGCAACGGTCTTGGGGTCTTGCAGGCACATTAAGCCTCTCCTAAGAGACTGGCCCAACTCCTATGGAACCAACAGGAGGGATGAAGTTGTTTTGTGTCGCTCTCGCATTGGTCATACCTTTTTAACACACATTTTCATTTTGAAGCGAGATCCTCAACCGGAATGTGTTCACTGTCATGTTCCTTTGACATTTAACACAATCTACATTCATTCAACTGGCGTACCAAGAACACTGCAAAGTAAACCAATTAATATACCTGAAACTTATTTTGGCTGCGTCATGTCCATTCTCTCTAAATACTCGTTCTAGTTGATCTTTCAATTTTTTATATTTGTCGCTACTAGGATCATTATATCCTGACTTGTACTTTAGTTCTGGAAACTTTATTTCAATAACAAAATACCCTAATAAAAGAATATAATTTATTGATACAAATAAAGACAATTTGTAAGTATGCATGCTTAGCGCGCTACAAAAATACATGCCATGTTAGGCCGTAATTAGATTTGCTTCTAATATAATTTTAAATCCCAGTTGTAAATACATTCGCTATGCATACATCGGTTTAGGTTTAATATTTGAATCAAGAAGGGATGTTCCCGCTAAGGAAATTCTTGGTAATCGACTGATGATTTATATATCAGCTATGGGTTCGTATCACCTTCATGATTTTGATTATTTAGCTACGACGAAAACCTTTTTAGATAAAGTCATTGAAACCCGTTTTCTAAAGACGACTGATCATTGGTGTCATGAAAAAGTAATGATGTCAACTATCCTACAGGTAGAACACACATTATATAGTTTGTACATTACTATAGCTGCCCAAAGTAATGCTGTTCCGGTATAGGATCTTGTCATTTCGCACAGTGACATTTGTCTGTAGGTATTATCGGGGTCTACGAGCACAGGAATCTGACCTTCTATCCGTATATATATACATACACCATGTCGTACCAGACAATATATAATAAAAAACAACAGGAATGCAATGCCTGTTGAAAACTCGATCTTACCTGCTCTCGCTTCGGCTCGTTTTTTTTCAACAATTCGTAATGTCAGGCAACCAAACTTCTGTCAATTCACTCAGATATGTTTTTTCTTCAATCTAGTCGTTTTGATTTGCATAAATACTCCCACAAAACGATATCATCGCCACTTGTTTCCAATATTTACATCGTCTTCGTCCATTTTCATTTTGTCACGGCCGCCATGCGCTGACGTCACACAAATAGACGCATTCGACAGACCTCGTTTTTGTTGTTGCTGGGGTTGAGGGATTCTACCGATATTCGCCGAATATGTATAGACGTTTCACTGACGCATGAGACGACCCTACTCCTTATTATGTGTTAACCATTCTGCCATTTTAGTAGCTTTTCATGTAAGCAATTTTAAAATGGGAGCTAAAGAGTAAAATTTGCCTAATTTTTTTTAGTACCGTAGCTTTTCGTGTAAGCAATTTTAAAATGGGAGCTATAGGATAAAATTTGCCTAATTTTTGTGATTTTAAAAAATCAACTTCATAGGGCTTTGACAGAGTAACACAAGCCGTGACAGGTCTTGTAATTGAAAAAATATTTATAAATACAATATAATGTGATATCAATATAATTTTTAGTTCATCTGATTTAACATTTCGTATTTTAGAAACAATTATGGAAAAAATATTTGATACCGTTCTTGGTAAATACCTTAAAATTAATATTCCTGGAATTCATAACTGCTCTTCGGCATTTTGTCAAGCCTAAACCGACTATTAAATTTATTATATTTTCTAAAACATCATGTGGAAAATCAGATGAATTTATTTTTGAAATTTTTTTTTTAAATTTTAATTTATGAAGCGTCAATACTCGAATAGGCCTATATATAAAGTTTTTTTTTATTTTAAAATGCTGTTTGGTAAATCCAACAAACTACAAATGGTTCTGTTGAGGCCCTTCAAAACTGAATGGACGATTTATTTATTATAATTGTTTTGTTTTTTTCTTAAATAGTAGGCCTACTTAGCCTATGCAGAATTGAAATTTTTACATTAGTTTTAGTTGTTTCTAAAATACGGAATGTTAAATCAGATGAACTAAAAATTATATTGATATCACATAATATTGTATTTTTACATATTTTTTTCAATTACAAGACCTGTCACAGCTTGTGTTACTCTGCCAAAGCCCTATGAAGTTGATTTAAAAAAAAACAAAAAAAAAAACATTGTTTAAATCACAAAAATTAGGCAAATTTTATCCTATAGCTCCCATTTTAAAATTGCTTACATGAAAAGCTACGGTACTAAAAAAATTAGGCAAATTTTATTCTTTAATGGACGAATGGGTAACACATAATAAGGAGTAGGGTCGTCTCATGCGTCAGTGAAACGTCTATACATATTCGGCGAATATCGGTAGAATCCCTCAACCCCAGCAACAACAAAAACGAGGTCTGTCGAATGCGTCTATTTGTGTGACGTCAGCGCATGGCGGCCGTGACAAGATGAAAATGGACGAAAACGATGTAAATATTGGAAACAAGTGGCGATGATATCGTTTTGTGGGAGTATTTATTCAAATCAAAACGACTAGATTGAAGAAAAACATATCTGAGTGAATTGACAGAAGTTTGGTTGCCTGACATTACGAATTGTTGAAAAAAAAACGAGCCGAAGCGAGAGCAGGTAAGATCGAGTTTTCAACAGGCATTGCATTCCTGTTGTTTTTATTATATATTTTCTGGTACGACATGGTGTATGCATATATATACGAATAGAAGGTCAGATCACTGTGCTACGAGTAACGGCATCCTGTAATAGATTAGATACCGAACGAATCTGTACTTGGACCCAAAGGGTCGTGCAAACATTTAATGAAAAATGATACTTACTTTTATCTTTGACAGCTGGAGCATCTTGACGTTCATCTGCAAAGGGATATTGTCAATTTTTATACAGCTTTAATATTAAATATGTTCAAAATATTTATAAGACCAGTAGATGCAAAATTTCCTGTAGTTTCCGTGTGAAGGGGGGGGGGGGGCATGAATTCTTAAATGACCAAATTTGGTATTAACATCAATGTTCGGGAGCAGCTACTGAAACACATTAATTTTCAGCAAAACAAGCCAACAGTGAGGCTGATGTCCCCCGCCGAAATAGGAAAATAATTAGAGGACACATATAAATTTATCACAAATTATCTTTTACAAAGTATTGAACAATCAAACAGTATATCTTTACTTATAGTCTAACAATCAAAGTAGGAGAGTTATTGTTTTCTAAAGTCTCGACCAATCAAATTGTGTATCGCTCTGCTTACCCTGAGCAGAAAATGCTCATTATCAAACTTAGTCAAGGTATTACTGTAATGAAACTATACACCAAGTTTCATCAATCTCACTTAATTAGAACTAAAGTTATCGTGTCCTAAAGCATCAACCAATCAAATTGCTTACCCTAAGCGGAAAATGCTCATCTTCGAAATCCATCAAGGCATTGACCTAATCAACACATACACCAAGTTTGAACATTCTAGCTCAATTAGGAAGAGAGTTATCGTGCCCCAAAGTATCAACCAATCAAATTGCTTATCTCTGCTTACCCTAAGCGGAAAATGCTCATCTTCGAACTCCATCAAGGCATTGACCTAATAAACACATACACCAAGTTTGAACATTCTAGCTCAATTAAAAGTTATCGTGTCCCAAAGCATCAACCAATCAAATTGCTTATCTCTGCTTACCCTAAGCGGAAAATGCTCATCTTCGAACTCCATCAAGGCATTGACCTAATAAACACATACACCAAGTTTGAACATTCTAGCCCAATTAGGAAGAGAGTTATCGTGTCCCAAAGCATCAACCAATCAAATTGCTTATCTCTGCTTACCCTAAGCGGAAAATGCTCATCTTCGAACTCCATCAAGGCATTGACCTAATAAACACATACACCAAGTTTGAACATTCTAGCTCAATTAGGAAGAGAGTTATTGTGTCCCAAAAAGTGTGACGGACAGACAGACGGACAGACAGACGGACGAACCCATTTTAATAGTCCCCTGCTTTCTTCGAAAGGCGGGGGACAATAACTGGAGGGGGTGTAATTAGGGGCCCAGTCAAATATTGCACTGATACAGTGCATTTATATCTACCTTGTTCTAGTATGTTTCTTGCCTGGTCGTGGCCTGTAGCAGTAAGTGCCTGTAAAAATTTATCAAAGGCGCTCTGACCACGATTCACTAAGGTCATTAACAGTTTATCGGTCTGTTTCTTGGGAACTTTTTCGGACTCTATTTTAATTTTGTCGTTTTCGTCAAAAACACAGGTGCTATATAATTCTATGCAAAGATCAAGGGGTTTTGCTATTTCTTCCAATAAAGCCGTGTAATTCGTCTGAATTTTCGTATATTGGGCATCCGACATTCGTCCCTTTTCCACACAATCTGAAAAAGAGTAAAACATAGACTGAAATTATTAATTTCTTGGTATTTTTGCATATTATGTTATCATAGGGATGAGGGTATTCATGCGAATAAATATTACCTCGCGAATACTGTATTTAGTAATTGCCTGACAAATACATTTTTAAAACATTTGTGACCTTACCGTATTCCTAACCACAGCTCATTGAAGCTACCAAGTTTTCCTTGTGCTTGTGCCCAAATAAAAAAGTTGTCTGTCCTTAACCTTATATACTGTCGTAAGGAATAACCCTTCACTGAAATACCATTGTAATTTAACTTATATATTGGAACCACGCTCGCATGGATCGGTTTGTCCGGTGTAGTTTCCCGTTGTTAGTGGTGAAATGGAACCGCGTCTGAATGTTCAAATGGGAGCAAAACCACGAGGCCCGGTGTACACGTTGGCGTCCACGTATGCCGTATAAGTACTATTGACAGTTGGAATTCGAAATAAGAGCAAGCAGTTGGGCTGCAATCAGGGCAATATTGACCTGATAACACATTGCATGTCGTATGCCTGTTTTGATTGGGCAGGTTGGTGTAGCACTGTGCGACGTTAAATATTTATTCCATTATTCATAGTGATATTACACAAAAACAATTACAAGATGTAAAATATTTGTCGAGGGCTTTAATACCACTGCGTGAGCAGTATGGGCAACTATGAATGAGGATTTAGTCATCACAAATTCGTTATGTCCGGACGAGCATGTTTGTATACGTCCAAATGAAAATGTCGCCCCTGTCCGTCCTGAAGTCAGTCCATAATGTTTTTGGACACTCTACAGGTCGCAATGTTTATCCGATTTTGACTAATCTTGAAATGATCAAACTTCGAACTTACAACGTATGTTTATAACCCAAAAATCTCAGTTCCTTTCGATATTTGCGCATATCGGACCACAACTTCCTTGATTATTGCCCCTGATTGAACGAAAAATCGCGTTTTTAATTTCTATATTTGCGCATATCGGACCACAACTTCCTTGATTATTGCCCCTGATTGAACGAAAAATCGCGTATTTATTTTGTGGTCCCACAGAGGTCAAAATTTGTATCCGATTTAAAAAAAATAGTCCGAATGTCGTGAAAATCAGACGGGGGGGGGGGGGTGTATCGAAGTGGGGCTGTCGGAAATGCAGTTGACCATATACCGCCAGTCGCAAAATCACTAGCTTATCCGACCTGAGAGAATCAAAGTGATTGTATATGAATATTTTCGCCACGGAAATGAAGCCTGGCAATATTTGAGGCACTGATCTTCGAGATAAATTGAGCTGACCAGATACCGCCTGTTGCCAAATTACTAGCTTATCCGTCCAGAGAGGGAGGTGTCAAAGAAACGGAGTGTGAGAATCAAAGTGAATAAATATTTTCCCTGCGTCGAACCTATACCCCAAAACTTTGAGGATCGTAAAAAGCACGTTTCAACTGGTTCAAGTGTTATTGTTTCGGACTCTACAACATGTAAGTCTATGACTGAGTGGGATTTAATCACCGTAGAAGGTACTGATTACCCCGAAACTTATTTTAATTTTTATCCGATTTTGATGAAACTTAAAATGTATATTTATATCTTCAGGGTCATAGTTTCTTTTGATATTGTTGCATATTGGACGAAGAATCACATTTTGGGCTTGTTCACTGTCCATATCATGCAAAATGTGGGCTGGGCGTAAATTACATGGCAACCGCTTGTACATATTTACTGAAATGAAATGGTATTGAACGTGTTATTGTTCTGCGCCAACAGGGCTAATGGAGACGGGTTAATATTGACTATAGTTGTGTGTGAGAAAATGGTAACTGGTAGGGGACAAATCCATCGATATTCGATTGAACATTTGTCTACACTAATACGTTGTTGCTCTTAGTGTTAAACGTCCGCTTCCACCAAAGGTGATATCGGAGACAAGTTGTCTTATTTTAATTTCTATTTTCTTAGCTCACGCGCAGGGTTCTTTCCTGTGGGAGGAAACTGGAGTACCCGGAGTAAACTCTTATCGCCAAGCTACATACGCTCACATCAGGGAGCGAAACAACAACCGCAAGCCAAAAGACACGCTAGTCCACCACAACCCCCTCACAAATACGTAATTTATGGGCGTTATTTATAATGACTATGGATGCGTGTGAAGAAATGCTAACTGCTAGGTGACAAACATATGTAGACCTCTGGTAGTCATGGTCATCTAAACTACATTCTTTATTTAGGTTAATCTTGGAAATACCTGTTTTTTTGTTCCCTAATTCCTGTTTTTCAAGTAAACCAGTCAACGCTTGAACTTGCTGTGTTAGTTTTCGAATATCTTCCTCTAGTTTCAGTTTATCATTATACGGTTCTACAACTCTGCTATACATATCACTTGTATAATGACTTCCGGCATTGTCGCTTACAGTTTTAAGGATCAGATCAAGAAAATTTCCATTACAATCTGTATCACGCAGCGTGTCAACATAGTCCAAACATATATATCTACTATTGCATTGTTTAATGGTGTCCATCAAAAATTCTGATTCTTTTATCATTGATATTGAGTTCGGATCGTTAGATATTCGATTTAAGACTAAAATAAGGTGATTGGTGATATTTTGACCAAATGTTTCCTTAAAAAGTTTAAAGGCACATTTACATTCCTCAGTAATCCTAGCATCTAGGCTCATAACGTAGAGAAACACGTGCGGGCCTGGTGTTGATATACAAAATAAAGAATAAAGTTCTTTTAATGTTTCCGCAATAGTATGCCGGGTATCAAACAATCCCGGCGTGTCAATGACTTTAATTGTTTTTCCATCACCTAGTTCCCTTGTCGCAGTTTCGCATTTAGAAGTGATAGAATTAGGACTTTGTTTGGACTGAAACACTGGTTTTCCTATCAAGTAATTGCCAGTATAGCTTTTGCCAGCTCCGGTCTTACCAGACAATACTATATTTATATGTGAGCTATCGTTAGTTCGTGGGATTGTACTTGGCTGTTCGCTGTCTGTGAATAGTGAATTACATTCATTATCTTTATTATCATAAGCACCGGATGAGTAATCTGTTTGAAAGGACATGTCGGCCTGTAAAACACAAATTAAAAGAAACATGCGCATATATACATATAGATGGGGGAGAACCAGGTAAAAATTCGTTTGAATGTATAGCTAAACTCCTTGTCTCATTTCTGTAAATTGAATATATCACCATCCTCACTGATTTATCGTTCAAGCACGCAGTTTTCGCCTTATGAGTTTTGAGGGTAAAATAGTGGACATGATCTACATAGTCAATGTCACCTGCAATCTACATTTCCCAATACTCATCATCCCCAACACGTATGTCAAGCTGACTCATCGTCGCTATAAACAGAAAAAATTGAAACATTAAAGTATATTAGGCATTAATTATTTTACACATTAACTTACCAATCATACAAAAGAAGTAGGAAAAGCGCTTAAAATGTTACACAGTAACATGGCAGAATTAACCTATTAATCAAAGATATCAAAAGCATGTTTTAACTATACCAGATATCACGATTCAAAGTATTGGGTATAAACTCTCTAAGCTCGATAAACAAATTTCATTTCTCAACTGGCAAAATAATTAAGCTACTTTCACCAAATTAAGAGCAAATCCCATGCATTGAACGGGCTTGAAAACGTATGACCCAACCTTGTCATTAACTTAACAATTGAGTGTGCTACTCGCCTGCGATTCCTGACTACCCACTAAACTTTCATCCCCTGATGCGTCTAACCGGTCTTCAATAATATTCAGTAGTTCTAACGGCCATACCCACAGATTGGTGTATAAACGCAGAGGCTTTTCATTCGAAAGGTAATGTAGTGTACGACGTAATCCACAATCATAACCTGATTCTCGTCAAAGGGCACCATCAATGCTACCTCGTTGTACAAAAACTGTTCCGTCTCTGGATGTTTTACAAAATAGCGAGTTATATCTTGGATTCTTTCCCGAAACCATAAATCTCCCAACACACTAAAGCACGATCTAACGTGACTCAACTCGACCTGTTTCCGACGAATGACGTGATGGTCCAGGTCGTGCAGGACCAATTCGCCATCCCAGATCCAACAAGATCTTGATAAGACCAACTCGACCCCAACACGATAAACTCGCTTCAGTCCAGATACTATACAGTTCCTGTCCAGATCCATCACGACCTCCGCAGAGTTTGGATATTCAAGAGTTAACATCTTGTCTTGTTGCTTCGAAATCGCGTACGGACGTGTTAAGGTCTTCATGAATTGGGTTGGTCATGTTGAGAGCATGTTGGGGTCTTGTTTGATCGTATCGATATCGTGTAGTTATCGAGTCTGTAGGTCCCGGAGACCGGTTGAAGTAATTTGTATCGCGATTATGCGCAACCTGCTAGAAATTTGAGTCTCCTTGGATCGCCAAACATTTTAGATCTGAATCAGAACGAGCTTTGGTCTGACAGGGGGCTTGACCCAAATAAGTTGGCGTGTTTTCTTTAGCTTTGATGGATCAATTGCCATATACACCAATTTGGTCGAAACTGTCTTCCTGAAGAACCAATCAGAGTGAAAATATCAAGGAATTCCCACCCCTAACCCGCGTCGATAATCCACTGGGGAATCAGTATCCCCGGTGTACAGAGTAGGGTAGCCATATTGCAACTAAAATAACCTGAATATATAACATAAGAAATCTTGCTATAGCCCAAAACCTTGAAAGGAAGGGATAAAACCAAGAGTGAGATGGGTAACGATTGGGCAAATGGGGACTGGGACCTGTGTTCGACTTCTTTCGTTCACCCTCATTCAATTTTGTCCGATCACTAGATTTCTCTTTTATATACTTCGCTGATGCTTTAGAGACTTTGTCTCCCGTCGCACTTCCTAAAGCTGAAAGACACAGGGTTAATCGTATCGATGCGTGCCCGGCAAGCTCCTCAAAAACGACCATATCCGCATGTCAATGAGGTCTAGCAAGGCTTGTGAGCTCATCCAGAGTCAGCAGAATTAGGGACTCCGAGGGTTTATTGGGGGGGGGGGGGCAATAACCTTACTTTAGTTTTTCGTCGATCGATACTAGCAATTTCCAACTTTTCCACCTCATCCAACAACCTCCTCTTGGGTTCTGTATGCTCTTCGTGGTCTTCTGTGGCCCGCTTACGAGAACTAGTTGTATTATCCTGAAAGTAAAAACCACAAACAATAATTATGTGTTAAAAACACACAAACCAAGAGTTACACAACGAGCAGGCATCTAATAAAGAGGCGCACAATGCAATAACAGTAGCAAACCTACCTGAGGTTCGTTCAGAGACTGCACCTTTGCTTGAGTAACTTCATTGGCATATATAATGGCGTGATGCAGAGCCAGCCTAGCTGATGACACGTCTAACTCCTTTTCTGCCATTCTAAGAATCCGAGGTAACTTTTCGCCAGTTACCATCTTGAAACCTTTCTTTATTTTCTACAAAATTACGAAACCGTCTTATTAAGAATACAATTATTCACACAAAAAGAAACAACTCTTAAGTCATCTTGAAAAAGGGCTATAACATAGGAGGTGAAACAAATGCTACACAAATGAACTAACTTGAAAATCGGCATCTTCTGTTCTGCACTCATATTGAAGTCTGGCTAAGTCGCCTACAACAGCTGTCCCATCTTTAATTCGTCTCACCAACGAAGGAAATTTAATTCCCTTCAAGGAATATCTGTTTTTCCACACTGTGACCACCATGATAAACGCAGGGACACACCAAAACAAAGCAGTATTCTAAACACCGATGGCCAACATTTTCAACAACATAACCATTAATAACAAATCACGAAGACACAAAAAAAAAAACAATCACAATTGAAAACTGAAAAACGAAATTAAAACCACGAATCGGCGATTCTATTTTTTATTTAGTTTATTGTAACGGTTGTCAGTTCCGAGTTACCTCAAGTGGTTTCGTCCTTCTATTTTTTAAACACGCGCTTTCGGCAACTTGCGGACACTGCAAGATTGTTAAATTTACATTTATTTAATCGTAGAACCTTGTGGTTAGTTTATCGGGTACCTTTTTACTTGCTCTAAATACCTGGAAAAAAATGGCACTGGACATTACCTGAACGAAATATATATTTCGTAGTCTTGGTTAATCAGACTCGTATGTTTAAAATAAACATCCTAGTCAGCATTGATAGTTAAAATTCATTTTATGTGATTTATTTATTCTTTGGGAGAATGGGATTGGAACGACGAAATTATCCTTCTATATAACTGACTGAAGTAACTAGCGATAACAGATACAGGGGCGAATATCAGCTGACTAATAATTCCTTCGAAGACCAAATATTGTTATATGTTAATTCTCGTCTGTTAGACTGGCTGTTACTTTTTACCAAATTTTCGTTGAGTAGAAGGCTTTCTACCATAGATGGAGCAACATGTGGCAACCTCTTGCCCAAAAGCACGTATGAGGTTCTTCGTGAAAAAATTGAGATACACTAGCTGGAAGTAGAGAGAAGTAAACATGCAATTTTCGGCCCTACATTTCAACCTAACCAACCTCTGAACTCTTGTATCCGTCCGCCTCAAAATCATAAATATTCATTAAAACCTGGCAGAAAATGTATTTTCAAACCCTTTTCTTCGAATCTACACCAAAAAGTCAAAAAAATCGCCATGCAAAGGGGAAAAGGGGATAAAAACTAAAAATAGCTTTGGCCCTTGTATCGTGGTGACGGCGTAGGAATATTTGGTGAGCTGTGTCCTATATAGGGGTGAAACTTCAGGTATCACCAAGAGGCCTTTTTATATGCTTCCCATGTGTTCTGTCATGTGACCAGGGTGTGGTCTTATTGGCTTGAAATCAGCCAGTCAGACACATTTCCACTCAGTATCATAATAAATTAATGTTTATTCAAATCATCAACACAGCCTTTTGGTGAATAAATCGAATTCGATTCTATTGATGATCAATGTTCAGTTGACCTTTAACATGCAAAGATGCAGACAGCATACGTACAACATGAAAACCGCCAAAATCTGAACTGATTCTTAGGCAGGCCTACATGAGACTATGGTTCACTGAGAAATGTATGACCTGGAAATCCCAGTGAATATATAGGCTCAGGTGCAGACAACAATTAACTAAAAATATACACATTCATAGAAACGGACAGCGGGAAATCCCAAAAAGTCTGACAGGTGAAATGGTCCTTAGTCAGGCCATTAGTCTGATTTCTCTTCGATCATCATTCATACCCCCCCCCCCCAAAAAAAAAAAACCTTACTATTTTGAAAATCAATACTATGTTTTAGGTTTTTCTAGTTTTTTTGGGTGGGGCGAAAAACAGACAGCACATAAAAATATGTTTTATGCGGTATAACACGGTCCCTATAAGATACAGCTTAATTCACTATGACACCTTAATTCACTATGTGGTATAACATGATCTCTATAATATACACCTTAATTCTCTATGTGTATAACACCGACACTATAATATACACCTTAATCCAAATCCATTATGTGGTATAACACCGACACTATAATATACACATTAATGCATTATGTGGTATAACACCGACCCTAGCACATTTCCACCCAATTTTAGAACCCTTGACAAATACTTCGTTACAACTATATTACTTCTCTATGTGGGCGTTGATTGAGAGTTATATCCCATAAAATGTTTATGGACTATGGGACAACTTTAATTGATATTAAAAAACTATCCGATTCCTAGTTTTCTTCTTTATGAATATTGAACTCATATCTTAGAAACTACATGATCTATATCCTAGAAGAGGGTCACGATGGCTAAGTGGGTAAGCCGCTGGCTTGCTGGTCGGGTGTTCGATCCCTGCATTGGCCGAGAAAGTGCATCCAGATTTTCCGGCGTGATTCTCCCTTGTCAGTGATGCAGGACGGAGGGGACGAAAAACCGAGTTCCCGTGTACACATTGACACTTGGAATTCGATATAAGAGTTAGCCGTAGTGCCGCTGTCCGATCAAATATTTCCCTCATAGCTCACTGTTTGGCGTATCCCCGTCTTCATTAGCCCAGTTCGGAGCAGAACAGTAGGACGTTAAACCCTATTTCATTTCATTTATTTCCTAGAAAATCCCCCATGTATTTAGTTTCATCACAATATAAAATAGTTTGGTTGGTGACCTAGCTTTTGTTATTTCATTACGCGGCGTGTCATCGTACGTATATCTATTTATATCAACCGAAACCATAAACAGGAAGATATTGTATAGTATTAATGTACAAGGTGCAACTTGTCATCAACAAAATAAATCGTTGTATCAAATACAATGTAGAAATCACACATTAAGAAACATTGTTGTGTGTACTATTTCACTACTACACAAAGAATATTAAGACAAAATAAAGATTTATGAAAACATAACTCTTACGAAACTTCTTAATAAAAATACTTTAAGGTGTTGTATTACCCTTTTGATCTTTGGGATCACTAGACGTTATGTTTATGTGAAGATCTCGATTGCGGCTAAAATAATTTCAATTGTTTTGTCTGTAGTTCATTATTAGCCGGTGCGAATTCAGAAACATAATGTCACAAATATCAAAATAATGCACATAAACGTGCTGTGCCTGTGAATATATCCGTATTTACGCGTCAGTATTGAAAGAGATATTCAAGGTAGCTAACTAACGCCGAAACACTGTAGTAGTTCCAGTAACAGTTGCTATTACTTTTCATAAATCCTTAACATTCTTTTCGCATGTTTTGCATCACCCTTTTTACTTAATGTGGGATCTCGAATTGCTTGAAAGAACCTGTTATTATTATTATTAATTGTTTTATAATTAAGGATTTTGAGGCGGAGTGATCGGGGGAGTAAACAGGCATGGATTTGGGGGAAATCCCCTATGACAAATAACATTGCACTTTAGTGAAAAGTCGAGACATATACATCTTGATCAGATGATCATGTCATACTTTGCGCGTTGGTGGTATAGAGTTTATATGCCACGGATTGTTTTGGCCCAGATATCGCATCATGAAATCAACATATCATTGCTGCATACACGGGATATAATTACACGTTTATACACGGGAGGTAATTCCTAGTTTACATATAGGATACAGACCACCCTATTTTTCTACCTCCGCTTTTACATGGTGTTTTTAGCTGAATTTTTTATATGTAAAATCGAGGAAGAGAATTTGAATTATTTTCTGTCTGGTTTTGGTAAATATTCGTAGTTTCAAGACGGACAGATAACGCAGTTAAATATGTATATTTAGAAATAATCCACCCTGTAACACAAGCAGAGCATTTTTTTGTAAGAGGGAAATTAAATTTTTCTCCTTTTGCTTTTCAATGTTTGTTGACGTATTGGTCTAGAATCAGAGAAGAGTGTTTGAATTCCCATTCAAAATATTTATCGAATGGTTGAAACTTGTTAATTAAATATTATAAGTCAAGGAATGGAATAGATTTAACATTGTTTTCAATGGATAGATATCAACACCTTTGATAATTTGATCTGAATTCTCATTAAACGGGATAATTTATAGTCGTTTGCACCATCATTCGGTTTCTGCGTTTTTACCCCCCCCCCCCCCTCTTGAGATGTAAGGGGTGATTAGAATATACCCCACGTGTGCGACTTAAAAAAACGATGAAAGGGACCCTTTAGCGTGTAACCGTGTATTGTAACCGGTGTCATTGGAGTGAGTGGAATCCTGATGATTGAGTGAAGTCTGGTCTTGCGAGCCCTTTCTCTGCAACAAATTGTTTCGACCCACAATTCACCAAGTTCCGGGGAGGGGAGGTCAGAGTGCCCACTCTGGTCAATGGGCTTTGGTCGGGTTCGGCTGATGAGTAGGCGCATGTCCCATTTTCTGAGTTTCTATGTTTTTTTCCTCCTATTGCCTCAGTTTTGCCCAGGCATCAGACGAACAGGGTATGGCGCACACTTTTAGGACCAGGGATTATCTTCACTCGCTTAAATATCATGGGTATCCTTAATAATTACTTCATGGGTCCTGGGAGCCACGGTGGCTAGGTGGTTAAGACGCTGGCTCGCTAGCCTGGAAGTCGGATGTTCGATTCCTGCATTGGCCGAGAAAGTTCACCCAGATTTTCCGACGTGGTGCAGAACGGAGGGCCTGACAAAAACAGCTGTCTAGTCCTTCGGATGAGACGAAAAACCGAGGTCGTGTGTATATATTGGAATGCACGTAAAAGATCCCCTGGCAGTTGGAATTCGATATAAGAGTAGGTGATAGTGCCGCTGCCCGGGAAGAATTTCTCTCATAGCACACTGTATGGCGTATGCCCGTCTTCATTAGCCCAGTATAGAAGCAGAACAGTAGGACGTTAAACCCCATTTCATTTCATTTCTTGGGTCCTGCATTCGATCCCTGCATTGGCCGAGGAAGATCATTTGGATTTTCCGGCGTGATTCTCCCTTGGAGAGAGAGAAATGTGGTTTAACGTTCACTCTACACAAACTAGTTTATTTCGGGACTAACATATGGTTCAGTTTTATTTCCATAATTCGCTTGCGCGTAGGGGTTTTAGCAGTGGGAGGAAACCCGAGGACCCGGAGAAAACCCACGAAGTTGGACAGCCGACCATATTCTTTGTCACGTACAACCGGAGATTCGAAACCACGCCAGTTGATTCAATGACAGACCGTATGATACAGCGCACGCGTGCTAACCATTCGGCCATGCAACCCCCCGATTCTCCCTTGGAAGTGGTGTAGGACGAAGGTTCTGGCAAGGAACAACGTACAATCGTTCGGATGGGACGAAAACTGAGAGCCCGTGTATAAATCGGTATGAGTGTAAAAGACATTTGCTAAATGTAGTTGTCCTGGTAAACTGTCCCTGGATGGCGCATGCCCTTCTTCATTAGCCTGGATTGTGTAGGGCATCAAATTGGTTAAAATAACTGTCACATCCACCCCAAATACAAAAATGTCCAATTTAAACCCAATTTTTGAAATAAATACAAAACTATGTGTACAATTTATATCGATTTTAAACAATTACAGAAATCAATTTTCAGATGATAAATCATTAGAAATATCAAGTAACCCATTTTCTAACAAGACATTTTCTTCGCCATCTATGTCAACGAGTTTACATTAGAAGGACGACTCTATTGCTATACACGAACTAGCTTAAGAAATTAAAACCCTTTTTACACCGATTTTATGCTAGAAATATCATCAAGGTTTTTCTCGGCTCTAGCAAGGATTTAAACCCAGAGATTATAGTCAAGAATCCATTGTCCTTACAGCTACATTACCGCGGGTCCATATCATGTCGTATGATCCTGGTCCCAGTTTTCATCGCATCAATACTCCAAAATATATCCCATTGGCATGGCAACACTTAAAACCCGGATGCAGCATCATAAACAATAGGGATCACTTACGAAGGGAGCTGTAAGTGTTGCTATTATAATAGGAGTTTTTATAAAAGGCCCATCATTAAATTCTCCACATATCTTGGTAAATACTGAACGGATTTGCATCTGATATTCCATCCTAATAGAGATTCATCTTTCACAATATGAATAGTACGATAGTATTTATTGCGCATGGCTCTCCAGATAAGAATATGGACTCACCGTTTGACATCGAGTACCTTGTTACAAATCGCACTGAAACGCATTATGGTACACGATTCGAGTACCAATGGTAAAATGTGTTTATTTTTTCTTAAATATTTGATATCAGAAGCCCATCTTTTCCCGGTAAGATCACAACTTCAATGTTGATTTAAATTGACAAATAATTCGTGTTTTCAATGTCGAAGAGGGTCGGATGGCTGAATGGTTAGCGTGTGCGCGCTGTATCATGAAGTCTGTCATTGAGTCAACTGGCGTGGTTTCGATTTCCCGGTAGTACGTGTCAAGGAGTAGGGTCGCCTGTCCAACCTCGTGGGTTTTCTCCGGGTCCTCCGGTTTCCTCCCACTGTTAAAGACCCCTACACACAAGCGAATTCTTTAAATAAAATTAAAACCATATGTTAGTCCCGAAATGACCCAGTTTGTGTCGAGTGGACGTTAAACCTCATTTCTCTCTCTCTTTCAATGTCGAAGACTTTAGATGATATTGAGTTAGAGAGGTAGCTACATAGTATAGTGAAGTTATTATAACGCAGTGGAGCGAGACGGTGATATATGCAGTCACAGCGTGTGTGTTTATTGATATATACCGAAAGTCCATATTGAAGTACAGCAGTCAACAAACAGTATTACACAATGATATGAACTAATGACATGCACGCAGGTCTCACAAGCGTCGTCTGCTCGAGTTTTACAAAGCAGAGATAAATGTGGTTTAACGTTAAACCGGAGCAGGCGAGTATATGATCAAATTAGAAAAGACCATGTTTTGCCTTAACCAATATGGCGTCGATGACTTCACTAAAATGACGTCATGTCGCCTCTACGTCATTTAAGCTTCTGTGGTTTAACGTCCGCTCATAAAATAACTAGTATGTTTTAGGACTAGTATTGTTATATACGTCATGTTAATTATTCGCTGGCGGGCTGAATTTTTTTTAACAATGGATGGAATCGAGGTATCTGCAGAAAACTTGCGCAATACATAACGGGGTTTAACGTCCATTCGACACAATCCAGAGGATTCGGTACTAACATGTGGTTCAATTTATTGTTCCCCGCCTTTCGAAGGAAGCAGGGGACTATTAAAATGGGTTCGTCGGTCCGTCCGTCCTTCTGCCTGTGTGTTTGTCCGTCACACTTTTTGGGACACCATAACTCTCCTAATGGAGCTACACTTTTCAAACTTGGTGTAGGTGTTTATTAGGTCAATGCCTTGATGGAGTCCGGAGATGAGCATTTGCTGCTTAGGGTAAGCAGAGATAAGCAATTTGATTAACCGATGCCTTGGGACACGATAACTTTGTTCTAAATTAGTGAGAGTGATTAAATTTGGTGTATAGTTTTATTACACCAATACCTTGACTAAGTTAGATAATGACCATTTTCTGCTCGGGGTAAGCAGAACGATAAGAAATTTGATTGAGTTGAGAATTTTCTGCTTAGGGTAAGCAGAGATAAGCAATTTAATTGATTGGTGCTTTGGGATACGATAACTTTAGTTCTATTTTAGTGAGAGTGGGGACACTTGGTGTATAGTTTTATCAAATCAATACCTTGACTAAGTTCGAAAATGAGCACTTTCCGCTCAGGGTAAGCAGAGCGATAAGCAATTTGATTGGCCGAGACTTTGGAACACCGTAACTCTCCTTCCAATTGAGATAGAATGTTCAAACTTGGTGTTGGCGTTCATTAGGTCAATGTATTTGTGACTCAGATGACTGGTCTAGGCTGTAAGTTATTGTCGAATTTTAAAAATATTTAACAATTTTGAAACTACTACACCAAATAGCCAATGTTTTGATGCCTACATTTAAAATGTCATCCTCATAGACCCTCTCAACGATACTTTGAAATGCCCAAGTGCATATCTATCTTATTCAATTAAAAAAGTTTTGGCTCCTAAAACTTCTCTACTATATGTTGTGTTATTAACGTAAGCCTGCATTCAGAAATAATAATTAATTTATGATATAAAAGTTGAAATTTCAAATAGGCCTATAACATTTTTGAGTAAACG